ACGCCCCTGCCCCTTTGCCCCTCAGGGAGTCCTTCGCCCTCCCTTCTTTGTACTCACCGAGCCGGTGGCGAAGTCCCTGCCCACACGATCCAACAGCTGCTTGGGGCTCTCACCACACGTGCCCACCAGTGTGACTGAAATGTTGTCCAGAGTGCCCGCTTTCAGGTAGGGGCCAGTGGTCACACACACCCGGTACAGGGCCATGGCTGGAGGGAGGGAGAAAGAGCTAGGGTGAGCTTAGAGAAGGTGAGCGGGCTGGGAACACAGTGGGCCCCGAGAAAAAGCCAAGCTCTCGTGGGGACGTTCTTCGGAGCTCTCTCTCCTGGAAGCTCCTGGGCCTCTGCCCTCGCTCCCTGCCCACTGCCTGGCTCCTCCCCCCCGCCCACAAGCTTGTGCCCCAATACTTCGAGTGCCTGTGACACAGCCGTCCCTCTGGCTGGCACAACAGGGCTAGCCCAGATGGATATCAGATACCTGGGTCCCACTGAGGAGGGAGGGACCAGATCTGGAGACGGACGCAGGTGACGCCCGGAATACTGCCTGCTCCCAGGCTAGCCAACGGGTGCCCTGGGAGCGTCCCCCTACCCTTCCACTTCCCAATCGCCCCCAAAGTTTTGCCTCCAAGTTCCCAGCCAGAATGAGTCCAGGGCCCTCGCATTCCTACTTGTGAATCACCCAGGTGACTCATGGTCCAGGTGAGCCCCACGCAGGTGAGCTGCACACGCATCCCCGCACAGAGCAGGGAGCCCGGGACAGCTCCGGGCCACCCCTGCCCAGCACTCTCCAGACCTGTGCGCGACCCTCGGGGTCCCCAGCCTTTGCCGTGTCCGATTATAGTGTCTGTCTCCCCGCTCTGTAGGGCTGAGGAGCGGATCTGAGCGGGGTCCGACAGCGAGTCGTCCCGAGGCGCCCAGGTGAATATTCTGCCCGCCCCAGGACTGTTCTGGGCCTGCAGGAAGGTGTGCGCGGGGCCGGGCATCTCGGTTGTGGACTTGGCGGGACCAGCCGGCAGCCGGCAGCGGCGCGGGGCGGCCACTCACAGTACCGCAGCTCCCGGGCTCCGCTCCGCGCCGGCTCGGCGCTCGTGTGCCCGCGGATCTCGGGCTTGGAAGCAGCACTTCCGAGCAATCTAACTCGCTGGTTTCTTCCCTATCTGGTGGGAATGAATCTCTTGCACAGAAATCGGCGGTCGCCTCTTGGTGTCGGAAACCCCACGCAGATAAAACTCTTATAGGAATTAAAGCACACAGAGAGCAAGGGCCCGGATAGCTCAGTCGGTAGAGCATCAGACTTTTAATCTGAGGGTCCAGGGTTCAAGTCCCTGTTCGGGCGTTCGGTTTTTTGATACAACTAACCTACTGTATTTGCAATTTTGTAATGAAGGAGGGAAAGACGAAAAGAAGTATTACTTGATGTTTAAATTAAGTTGCATTAAATGCGGCAGAATTTATTTTTGAGCAGGTGGAACGAATTGACAGAAGAAAATTCTCAAGAGCAGCGCCCTTAGGAACCATACGTGCCAATTTTAATCTTGTAGTCACCACATTTAAAAGAACGAAAAGATAGGCGAAATTAATTGGAATAATATATTTTATTTAACCAAAATGTTAGCAACAATCAGTTTTCTAAAAATGATTAGAAATTGTTTAGTCCTTTTCTCCATACGAAGTCGTCTAAATGCGGGTGTATTTCACACTCAAGCACATGTGTGGTGCTGAAAAATCACATGAAGTTAGTACCCACTGTTCTGAATATTTCATTTTTCCCCGTGACGCAAGATTAGGCGACACGCCTAATAGGAAATGCCATAATGTATGCAGTTACGGACACCATGGAGACCAGCTAGGTTCCATGGTGTAATGGTTAGCACTCTGGACTCTGAATCCAGCGATCCGAGTTCAAATCTCGGTGGAACCTTACCTTTTCCTCGCCTGAGAACTCAAAACACAAGTTAGTGTTTTGAATAAAATGATCTGGAAAAAACTAGAAATCTATTCTTCGTGTTTTAAATAAAATGATCTGGAAAAAACTAGAAATCTATTCTTCGAGCTTTACCAAACGGGCAATTGAAATTTCTAGCACTCCGTGAACTCAATACATTGCAAAGTGTTTAAATGTAGGACAACTTGTGCTAATTTACAAAAAATAGAAGGTTGTTTTGAGAATGGTATTTACTTAGGGTTCATTTATAAAAAGTAGCAATTATCAAAGCAGTCTCCACTATGGAGACAGGCCTAGGGTAACTGGTAGATCAGAGAGTAGAGGAAGGTGCTGTCTGTACCAGTGAGTGCCCTCAGAATGAGAGAAATGACCAGGAAACGTTTGCAGAGTGGAAGACACCTGCATGGACTCGATTAAAAAAATGGTACCAAAATTCGGATCTGGCAGCGGTGGGATTCGAACCCACGCCTCCGAAGAGACTGGAGCCTAAATCCAGCGCCTTAGACCGCTCGGCCACGCTACCTGCGTGGAGAGATAATATTCCCTTTGTCCTCCTAAGAGACTAGGATGGAGTGGTGGGGTGAAGAATTATAAAATCAGCAAATTTTCTTTTTCCTGTATTTTTCAAACCTAGAATAGGGAGCCGTTGTAAAATTCCTAATCTTACAGCAATAGACAAAGAAATATCCAAACCAGAAAGGAACCAGAACACTCAGAATGTACCAAAAACAACAGTTTATTTTAGCGGGCAAAGCCCTATCTGGGAGTGGGATTCTCCTAGGCAACCAGAGCGCCACGCTAGCTCCCTCACACTCCGCTGCTCTTTTTCCCTGGCTCTTCCATTCCTGCGCTTCCGAATGAACACCTGGCTCACTGTTTTGCGCTAGCTACCCGGCCTGGGCGGGCCTAAGGTGTCTACACCTTGTGCTAAACTCGTCCAAACCACGCGTTCCTGGTACGCCCCACCCAATTCCCTTCCACACGCCCTCTTCACCCTGCCCCTTCCTAGTCTACTTCCCGTAAGGCATAAAACGGCGCGGCAAGCCAGCAGGCTCTGTGGCGCAATGGATAGCGCATTGGACTTCTAGTGAGCAAGAGAGCAATTCAAAGGTTGTGGGTTCGAATCCCACCAGAGTCGGTTTTAGTTTCCTTCGATTTTTACCTGGTTTTCTCTTAAAAACTCCCCTCTCTTCTCCTGCTGCCCTATCTCAGCGTTTTCCACTAGGTGTTAGTTACCACCACAGTCTCCGCTCTGCTCTCTTCTTTACTTACCTGTCTGCCCGGGGCTTGGGCCACGAAGAGCGGGACTGAGGATGGGGGACAGAAAGGGAGGGAGTGGGTGTTGTCGCCGAGATAAAGGCAGGCCCCTGGCTTGGGGACACACCGGGATTTAATAACCATTTTATTCCATGCACTAGGGACTAACGAAAGGGCTGGGACTGGGCTGGGGGTCCGAGAGGGTACATCCTAGACAGAGGGGGCAGGGAAGGCAGAGCAGAGGGACAGGGGGACAGGAACCAGGGGAATATATATTTATATAGATACTCTAATATAGACCACAATCTCACCCACGCGCTGTGCCCGCGCGCCCCGCTGCCCTCCCCAACACCTCCTCGCCGGGACAACCGGCTCCCTCTGCTGCCCTCGGGATGGAGTCTCTATCCCACCCCTACCCGCGCCCCTACTCCCCCAAGCTCAAGGCCAAGGTCTCCAGAAAGCCGGCGGCGGGAGCGGCGGGGCCTTGGGCGCCCCGTCTTGTCTGTGAGGCGGAGGTGGCGGCGGCAGCAGTCCGGTGAGAGGCGCCAGCATGCCGGGGTCCCTGGCGCGCGGGGAGCAGGGGGACGGGGACCAGGCGCAGCGCGGACTAGGGGGACCCTGGTGCGCTGGGAGGCGCTGGTGCAGCGCGGGGCCGGGCGGCGGGGCGGCGGGGTCCAGCGGGGCAGGAGGTGCCCTCGGATCCACGGGCTCCGGCCGGGGCGGCTTGGGGCGCAGGTAACCGTGCAGCGCGGAGAAGAGCTGGGCCCGGGCGGCCGGGCTGGCGTCGTGCGCGAAGGCCGCCAGGCGGAGCAGGCACTCGCGGAAGCCGGACAGGTAGCAGCTGGCGAGCGCCTCGGCGTCCTGGGCTGGGGGCCGCGGGTACCCTGGAGCCGCAGCGAAGGTAGAGGCCCGGCGGGCAAGGCGGGGGCCCAGCAGGAGGGGAGAGAAGGGGAGGGGCGCGAAGATACCGAGGCCGGACAGACGCACAGAGGCAGAGGTCCAGACAGAGGGAGAAGAAGAGGGAGACAGAGACAGACACGCGTGGGTGTCATTAACCTGCCTCAGAGCCCAGCCTGCCGCTACCCAAGCCACCGTCCCCCGGGGAATCCTCCCCCAAGTCCCCGATCCTAGAGTTCCGGAGACCCCCCCGCCCCCCGCCGCTGCCCCACCCCCGCGCTGTACCCAGGGGCTCCACCCGGCTGCGCTCCCGCAAGTAGCCCACGGCGAACTCCAAAATCTCCGCCTTCTCCAGCTTCGGGTTCCGGAGGTTCTACAGACGGGAGGGGAGGGTACAGAGACAGAGAGGGGTGGGGAAAGAGGGGAAGTGGCAGGGGGAAGAAGGGAGGGGCGGATGGGGGCGCTCGGGGTGCCCCGATCGCGTTTACGCGCCGCCTGCCGAGTGAGCGCGCCACCGAATGCGGAGCGGAGATGACCACCAATGGCCCGGCCCTCCCGGAGACGAAACTGACCAGGGGGTGCCGCCAACCCACGGAGCAGGGGTGAGGAGGTGAAACGGCGAGCCCAGGGAGAGAGAGACCTTGGCTAACCCCGCCGGACTGAAGCGGAGCGCGCTGGGGTGGGGAGAGCAGAGGGGGGAATTCCAGCGCAAACTGACCCGGGCGTAAAACTTCCAGGCAACGCAGTTGGCGTCCTGAGAGTGAGATGGGTCTGGAATGGGATTCCAAGGGTGGGACTCGGGCCGGGTTGCCCGGGGACCAGGGCCACCAAATCTGGTATCTGCCCCCCACCCGGGAGAAGCCCTGAAACCCGAGAACCCGATGCTGGAGGGTCCCGGGCCTGCGGAGGAACTGACCTGGTCCCGGGTCCGCTCCAGCAGTAGGAGCCTCAGCTCTTCCAGGCTGCGGTTGATGCGGTCCCGGCGCCGCTTCTCCACCAGCGGCTTTAGCATCTGGGACCAAAAGAGCGGGCCACGGGACCAAGGCTCAGCGCAGACCCACGGCGTCGGGCGGGATTTCCCACCTCCGGAGCACCCCGCCCCCACCCCATTCCCAAGACCCGGTGAGCCTGGGGCCGGGCGCACGGCTCCGGTCAGCTGCTGTGCCCAGCGCCCCTAAGGCCAGTTTCTGTGGTTCGCCTTGTCTCTCTGGGGTCACCAGCTTTCTCCTCTCTCAGCCTCATCCTCCTCCTCCCCTCCGAGTCTCTCCTGCTCCTGCTTCTCTCTACGTCTCCGTTCCGTCCAGTCTCTCTGTGTGTCTCTGGAAGACCCGCTCTGTACCCGGGCTCGTGCGCTACACGGCGCATGACGCAGAGCTGGCGCCCGGGAGCGCTAGGAGCAGAGGTTCAGTGCAGCGCGGTCGCTCCCCACCTGGTTCCTAGCGGGTCTGTCAGCGGTCAGCCTTCTCCACAGACCGTCCTCAACGCTCGGACTCACTGCCCGCAGGGAGCTTACTCTTCGCTGACTACCTTCCTCCTCTTGATGGTTTTTCTCCAACTCCGGGGCCCCATTCCACTCCCTCCAGGCCGCGAGGTGTCGACCCCCTGCTAATCAAGTCCTCAGACCTGCTCCAGCGTGTCCCCTTCCTTATTCCTCCCCTGTCCACCTGGCACCCGGGTGTCCCCAGCCTCCTCCCAGAACCAAAGTCTCTGGCCACCGATCTCCAAACCGGTTCCGGGACCTCTTCTCCCTCCGCTCCCGCGCCTCACCTTGGGGCCGTCCCTGTTTTCAGCTCGCTCCCGGGTGACCATCGCTCCTCCGAACCCAGGTATAGACCGGGTCCCCGCTCGCGCTGCGTCTTATATCCCCTAGGCTCGCGGGGTCTGGGGAGTAGGACCTCAGCCCCGCCCCTCGGCACCCGCAACCCTCTGGAGGGGCTGCGGCACGAGTCTCTCGGAAAAGGGAGGAGTGAAAGGGGGGAGGGGAACGAGGAGAACTGGCCCCCAACAGGGCCTGGGAGTGTGGGAATTGGGGGTTGAATGGGACACCGGCTGGTTTAAAGACCTTAAGGCTGTATAAGGCGGGACCCAACTAAAGGCCATTAGGGGGGAGAGGAAGGAAGTGGTTTGAGGGACACAAGCTAGGGAGGGTCATCCAATAAGCAGGCAAGGTAAACGTGGTGGATTTCCTCTTATTTCTGCAGTAATTTATAGTGGACAACAGCACAAGGTTTACACCACAAGTTAAACCTGGGCTCGCCTTGCTCACTGAGGACTCCGCCCCATTCTGGAATTGTGAATTTGAAGAGGCTTTGATTCCGTGGGGTTGAGTTGGGAGAGAGAAATGCTAGTCACACAAGACGCAGAATGTTGGATGTGGTGATGGTGGGGGTGGGGATAACTAAAATTATTAGCTACAGATGAGCAGATACGCACAAGTAAACCTGTGCTTAGTGGATAATCCGACACTGGGCAGAAGGCAACCATGCAGGGAAGCGACCCATTCCAGAGTCTGAGCTCCTCCCAAATCTTAGCTTTCCAGAGGGAATCACTGTCCCTCCACTCATATGGAAACCAAAATTAGCATCCCCAAATCCACTTCCTGGAGGGGTCACACTGAGGTCCCTTGAGAGGCCAAACTTGTCCTTGAAGGAGCTAGTGGAAAAGGCCACGTGTCAAGGAGTTACTCGAAGCAGGTGCTCAGGAGGAAATAGGATTTCCCTGAGGGTTAGCTGTACCTCAGTCGAAGGAAATTTCAAGCAAGAGAGAAGGTCTTGAAGGGTGAGTAGTTGAAGTATTCCTTCCTCACTTACGAATATTTGGCTCAGAACTAATTCTAGGAGATTCAGAACCACGTGGCTGTCAGGTCCCTTCACACAAACGTGGGGTTGATTCTTATTTCTTGGGAGGCCCTCACGGCCACAAAGGCGCAGAAAGTAGACAGTTTCCCCAAAGAGGCAAGAAAGTGCCCAGCATCCCAGAGGAAGAACATCATCCTTCTGCAGAATGAGGCGTGAGAACGCGAGAAGATAGATCAGAGTTTTAATGGGACAGCAAGAGTGCTGGGGAAAGAGCCCGGGAGATGAGGTTACAGACTGAGAGAGAAATTCACTGGCGCAGCCCTTGCAACACTCCTCTAAAGGGCCTGTCTAGTCAAAGCCAGAGGTCATAGGAGCCCGGATCTTGGGGAAGGGGCTCCCATTTGGAATCAAGGACTCCGGCACCCCCCCTACTTCAGCCAAATGGGAACGCAGATGTGTGGCCACCACAGGCCCCGCGGCCCCCCTCCTTGGGAACCTGAGCTCGGGCTGAGTTTTTCTCACCTGCACGCGAGGCTTGGGGCCCCGAGCTGTTCGCACCTGGGTGTGGGGCCGCCCCTGGCCATATGGGGTGGCTTTATGGCCCAGTGGCCGGATCCTGGAAGGAGGAAGGATAGCCCGGTGCTCCTCCCACGCCAACTGGAAGGCCACTGCTAGCAGGGTCGCTTGCCTATCCTGTTCTGCCGGACCACGACCGCCGCACCTTTCTCACTGGTCTGGGGAAAGTGAGCGCGGGCTGCTCCCTCTTCCCAGGTAGCTTAATGGTACCATTCTTGCCCACTACTGTAAGATGCCAGGGTTCGACTCCCGAGTAATATGAACTCTTGGCATACTTTGCCCCCACCAATACATTGGGTGACGTTCTAATTGGCGTTCTTGGTTAACATTTCTACCAAATACTAATATTTGCTTTTGACTCCAGCGCAGAATTTGAGGCTTGCAATCATTCCCTGATTCCGGACGTCCTCACACTCCCCTCCTTCCCGTCTTGGGGGTCCTGCTGTTGTCTTGACATCCCTCCCTTACCCCATCCTCACCCGGGCCCCGCACCTCCACAGGCGTGACCCTGAGAAAGAAGTAGGCGTTGGGGTCCCTGCCCCGGGGGGCCTTGGGGCCCTGGCTGGGGGGTGGGGCGGAGGGAGGAAGTGGAGCGGGATCTCCCCAGTGTCTCTCTGCATTGTCTGCCCTCTCTCACTCGCGCTTTGCGTCTCTCTGTCTCTTTTGGCCTCGCCACCTTTCTGCGTCCCGGGGTGCCTATGGCCGTCCTATCTCCGGATCTCATCGCAGCTTCTCTTCGACGCTGCATCTCCCAGAATCCCCGTCTCCGGTCTCTCGCCATCTCTCCAGATCTCTGGCGACCCCAGGACCTCTCTGCGCTCCCACGTTCCGGGCGACCCCTGGGAAGCTCGCTCACACCTCCGGGACCCCGGCACCTCCGCGCGCCGCCCCTTCCCGGCGCTTTGATGGCGCACGCGTCGGGCCCGCGGGCGGTCCGTCGCACGGGCCAGCTGGGGCGGCCACTTGTGAGCGAGGGCGGGGCAGACCCGGGCCCCCGGGCGCGCGGCGCGGGCCTCCCTCCGCGCCCCTCCTCCGGGCGGCCCCGGCCCGCGGCCTCGCCTCGGACCCGGCCTCCAGGGCGCCCAGAACTGGCCCTGGAGCTCAGCTTTCCGTTCAGCCCACGTGTCTCATCTGGGCTGGCCCCGAGAGTCTCTCCCAGTGACTGGGAATTCTCTTTTCCCAACTCTAAACCATGGCAGTGCCCCGCCCCATGCCCCCCCCAAATAAAAAAGAACTGAACAATGTGGACATGTCTGTGTCTGCCTCTGCAGGCTCCATATCTGTGCATGGACTTCTGCATGCCCACTGTTGTTAGGCCTCTGGGCTACAGTGGGCCCCTGTTCTGCTGAAACTTACTTTAATTTATCCTGGGGGAGACCGAGCACAACTCAGTAAGCAGAAAGGATCGTTTCAGATGATTATAAGGCTCGGATCAAAGCAAACTCACTGTCATCGGCTCAATTCCGGCTCACAGAGACCCTACAGAAAACTCTGACTCGCAGGGACCCATAGCGACGCTATAGGACAGGGGAGAGCTGCCCCTGTGGGTTTCCTAGACTGTCTTTGCAAGAGTAGAAAGCTTGACCTTCTTCCACAAAGCAGCCAGTGGCTTTGAATGGCCATACTTGTGGTTAGCAGCCCAACCCCGGAAGAGAAAACGACATGACATTGACCAGGCCATGAGTTCAGAAAGAAGCGCTACTTGTTTCTTCCCGGTGGTCGGAAAGGGTTTCTACAAGGAGGTGCTATCGGAGCCCAACTTTAAGGACGAGAGGTCAGCCCTAAGGACGTAAACCCAAACCAAAAGCAAACTCACTGCCACCGCGGTGATGCCGACCCATAGCGACCCCATCAGATAGGGTGGAAGGGCCCCTGTGAGTTTCTGAGAATCTCAACTCTTTACTGGAGTAGAAAGTCTTGCCTTGCTCCTGCAGATCGGCCCCTGGTTTCAAACTGCAGACCTTGCAGTTAGCAGCCCAACATGTAAGCAGCGAAGGAGTGGCCCAGGCAAAAGGAGTAGGATGCACAAAGGCACTCCAGTGTCCCTAGGGACTTAGGAAGGTGGTGGAGATGAGGTGGGTGATGCTCCACCACATGGGTCTTGCAGGCTGCAGAAGTCTGTATCTTAGTCCAAGTGTGCGTGACCCCCGTGGGAAGTTCTGATCAGAAACATTATGTTCTGATACGAATTCTACCTTGCAAGTCTGGCTAGACTAGAGGATGTACAGTGGTACAGATAGGAACTGGAAACACAGGGAATCCAGGGCAGATGAGCCCTACAGGACCAGTGGTGTGAGTGGCGATACTGGGAGGGTAGAGGGAGAGTGGGTTGGAAAGAGGGAACCGATT